GCATTATGAGTTATTGTATGATTTTTGAAATAACTCAATTTGAGAAGAACCCTCATTTTTTGGAAATATTAGAACAATATTGACTCAATATAGCTAACAACATTTTTTATTCAATATTTCCTTGAATTCAAAATGCACAATTCTTTTTCATTTGTGGAATATATGAGACTTCATTGCCTTTTCAAGTAAGTTCTGCTGAAAATTAGAAATTTATCAAGTACACAAACAACAGAAGTAATTGATGTGTTGAAAATTATATTATGGAACTATGGATTTATATTTATTTTGAATCGATTTTTGTGAGTCTTGACTAATTTTTTACTTTTTCTTTTTTAATAATTGATGAGGCCGATACTTGATGTAAATCGATAAACATAATAAAACAATTGTTAAACAAAGATTTACACATATATTGAAAAGAATACTGCATGACGTACGTTTCGATGAGATTCACCTTTTTCAAATGCTACGTGCAGACTAATGACATTTCTCGAATACATACAATATATAAACTTAAATTATGAATACAGAGAAAACAGGTTAGATAACAGGTAGAAGGGATCAATTCATACTGAACTACTATATAGTAAACTAAGTAATTTTGAAAAGATTGAGAAGGGGGCTTGAGGTATGATCGATTTGGCTGTTCAAAAGGTTGCCAGAATATTTGTATTTATTAATTTGAAGTGATTCTAACAAATTAAGCTTCATTCCCTTGTTTGCGGTATTCAAAATTTCAAAATCGGAATTGAATATATGATTTTCATTAATCAAATGATTTGCATAATGTGAATCTGTCTTCTGATTATCAAAGCTAAGTTTATTTGAAAACTTCTAAACGTTATACTAATATAGAACTTATCACAACTACCACAGTTAATTTTATATACTAATTTTTTATTTCTTTGTTTTTTATTTTTGTTGACCTTAGATTTGTTATTTTTGATATGTTTTCCTAAGTTAGCCTAAGTTTTCCTAAAACTTTCCTAAGTTTTCCTAAAACTTTGGAAAACATATCAAAAATAACAAATCTAAGGTCAACAAAAAAATAAAAAATCAGGAGTATATAAAATTAACTGTGGTAGTTGTGATAAGTTTTATATTGGTAGAACGTTTAGAAGTTTTCAAATAAGAATTTCTGAACATAAACGTAGCTTTGATAATCAGAAGACAGATTCACATTATGCAAATCATTTGATTAATGAAAATTATATATTCAATTCCGATTTTGAAATTTTGAATACCGCAAACAAGGGAATGAAGCTTAATTTGTTAGAATCACTGCAAATTAATAAATACCAATATTCTGGCAACCTTTTGAACAGCCAAATCGATCATACCTCAAGCCCCCTTCTCAGTCTATTCAAAATTACTTAGTTTACTATATAGTAGTTCTGTATGAATTGATCCCTTCTACCTGTTATCTACCTGTTTTCTCTGTATTCATAATTTAAGTTTACCTATTGTATGTATTAGAGACGTGCAGTCTGCACGTAGCATTTGAAAAAAGTGAATCTCATCGAAACGTACGTCATGCAGTATTGTTTTAAATATATGTGTAAATCTTTGTTTAACAATTGTTTTATTATTTTCTTTTTTTACAATATTCACTTGTTAGCTCTTTATCAATTTCTTCTCAACAATGTTAATCGTACGGTTCAGTTTTATTGAACTTTTGATTATGGCTTAATAGTCCAAAATATACGTCAATTGAGTTGAAAAATTTCATATAATTTATCATAGTGTTTTTAACTATAAAAAGAATAATACGAATTTCATTTTATTTTCAATAATGATCACAATCTTTCGCAATTCATCTGCCAACGTTTCAACAACCATTTTACACTTCATTCACGTTTCCTCGAAAACTTTGAATTAAAATTATGTTACCTATATAATATAATGTATATGTATATATAAACATATTACAAGTCTGATAATTTATAAATCACAAATTTCTCTATTTATTTAACAAGTTATGCTCTACTTTTTCTTCTTTGAAAAACCAAAAGGTATTCATAACGTCAATAACATTGATAATACCATTTCACATATTTCTCTTAAATAATTCAATTGAGGTTAAACAGAATTTTCGCTGAAAAACCAAATGCTGTGATATAATTTCTCATCCGTGTTAGGTTTACATGTGGATAAATAAATAAAAATAATGCTGATTAGTCACTTTGTTATGTTGATACTTGATATCTACTGAATAAAATATAGTGTGTGCATCTAAAACTTCCTTGATAATCTGCGAGTAATATCGATCGCTGTTTAATAATAAACGTTTTGTGTAAAATTGATACCATGGGAACCTATAAAAAGAACAAGAGATTTCTTGTTCTCTCAATATGCTGATTCTAGTTTTTAGGCAATGAAAAGTATCGCAGTGTGGTTTGCCTAAGATTGCATTCCCAGAATAATTATTTAGGACCTCTTATCCGTTTATGTAACGTCAATTAACAAAGTTTTCTGCACTTGAGCTCCTTTCTTAGGTTCCATAGAACCATGGTACAAGTGTATTTCAAAATATTTTCAAATATTGGAATTATTTCTCAGGTATACAGACATTCACTAAAATTGTAAATAGCTAATAACTTATATTGATGCCTGTCTCCGTAGCTTAGTCGGTAGAACTCCCGACTATGGTGCGGTAGAACTCGGGTTCGAGTCCCGCTGAAGGCATGGGTGTTTGTGTTTGTCTATGATTTAAGTAGTTTAAATAATGATATATGCTGGGTAATGTACATCGATTACAAGCCCAATGGCCGTTCGGAACCGGCGTTAAACTGTAGGTCCACTGATTTAAAAAAAAAGTTCATCAGAATACCAATTTTTTTTTTTAAAATAAAAAACTTTTTTGCCTGCTCGAAAATTACGAAAAAATATTCAGTATCAGAATGAAAAAATCAATTCATAAATACAGCAATCAATATTGAGTGACACTTATCACTATCGATGTTCATGATGAATACGAGTTCGAGATATTATATTTAATGGATTGAATTAATTATCTATGCTTGTATTTTCATATAACTACATAATTAATGATAATAACATATTCAATTTCAAAAAATAAAGGAGTATTTTACCTATCAATTCACTTTTTGTAATTTGAATATGACAAATTTCAATAGTTCTTTGTTGACCAAGTAGAAATATGTTTACAGAATAAAAAAGGGATCATATAAAGCTGTTGTATTGAATTAAACCAGAAATATTTTTAGAAGAAACAAAACCGTTGTATATTAAAAATCTCTTATATTAATAATGAATATAAATTATAAATAGGTATGAATAAAACGAATATAATATAAAAAATGAAGATGAATATTTATATATAAATTCATTACAAATTATAAATTGAAGAAAATTGTAAATTGCATAAAAACTGTAATACCTAGTAATAGCATACAACCAAAATAGAGTGTTCATTTGGAATACACCTAAAAACATGAGAATGTTCCCTATTTTCAAACCTGCTGTAAGTACTCTGCAAGTTTTGATTACTACTCGGTTATATGAATATACTTATTCATATAACCGACTAGTTGATGTAGAAGATGTTGTTTCAAATCAAGTATTCAATAATACTAACTGCATTAATAAGTCTTTAATTCCTTTGATTCCTGATTGCTTGAATCCTTACTGACAAAAAAGTTGAAATGAAGAAGCAATTGCTGAAACAAGGCACACTTATACTCACAATTAATCTATGATCTGACATAATAGAATGATTTATGTTAGTGGTAAAAAATATCATGACTGATTGGATCAATAGAGACTTGGCAGCAATAAATGAATGGCTAAGTGATAACAGTTTATCGCTGAATATAACAAAATCTAAATTTATAGATTTTGGTACAAGTAAAATTCTATAGGTTAGTATTATCAAAATATAAGTATTAAAATTGAAAACAAGAACATTGAAAGTGTAAAACTTGTTAAATACTGAGGAGTTATGTTAGATGAGAAATTGAGTTTCAATGATCATGTTGACTTTATATTGTCTAAAACCTCAAAGAAAATCAACATTTTCAAAGGAATTGGAAAAAATCTGACGACATATATGAAGTTATTGCTCTTTAGGTCAATAATAATGCCACACTTCGCATATTGTTCCACTCTGTTATTGGGATTGAGTAAAGAAAAAACTAAACAGCTACAAAAGCTACAGAATAGAGCTATGCGAACAATTTTGGGATGTAATAGATATATTCCAATCCAAAGCATGCTTTATTATTTAGAACTAATGTCAGTCAAACAGAGAATACTTTTTGCTACATATATATTTAATTTAGAGTCAAACACAAATTATTCCCATATATAATAATAAAAAATGTAAGTGATATACCAAGGAATCCTGACAATTTCTACATGCAAGTTTGTAAGCTTTCCAAACATAGGAATACCATATTTTATGAGGAATTCAACGCATTTAATAAATTTCCTAGCTCCATAAAAACAATTAGTGACCTTAAATTATTCAAGCGTAAATTAGCTAAGTTCGTTTTAAACATATAATTGTAAGTAATATATTTTGAACCTAAATGTATATATTATTTTGTAATAGCTGAAATAAATATTATTATTATATTAATGACAAATTTTCAGTAAAAGTGACTCATAATAAGTTTATGAATTTTTCAGAAGATAAAGTGAACGGGGGCCTTAAATTTCGGCCCCCCCATATATTTTTCATCACAAATGCACTTGTTCTCACTACTTTACATCGTCCCTTTAGGTCTTTATAGACCACTTTCGGATCGTAGTGATCACAAATCACTTAGATCATATTGTCTATTAGATCATATGTGTTCATTTTCAGCTTACAACTGAGTAAAACTGTAAAAACGATTTTATACTGAATTTTTTTTTTTTAATTCAGTGGACCAATTTAAGAGCTGGTTACGAACAGAAAATGGCCATGTAATCAATGTATATTACCCAAAAATTATCATCATTAAACTACCTAAATAATAGACAAACACAAACACCCATGCCTCCACTGGGGATCGAACCCGAAACCTACCGCAACATAGTCGGGTGTTTTCCCGACTAAGCCACGGATGCCGACATTTGAAGTTTAATTCTACGAAAATGTTCAATAAATCTGTTGTACTGAACCGTTGTTTAATAGAACTACTCTGTTTTGGAAAGTTTCAATCTATCTATAAATGATATTAAGTTTAAATTTCTATGGTTATGCATTTCAAGATCGTACATTTCATGGTTGCAGTTGGTTTCAATGGAACTTAAGACCCCATGTTTGATCACAGAACCTTAAAGACAACTCTATAAATAAATGGATGGAGTTTATTTATTCTTTGGGATAATTTTACATTCTGTGTGATAATTCAGAGACTGCTACAGTTTTATATTATTTGTTCAGAACTCTTGATAATGGTTGGTAGCCCGAAACATATGTTTTTGAATTTTGAATTCTAAGATACATTTTAATGATGTTTCAAGTCAAGTTCACCAAGGGCTATCTGAAATCAAATGATATTAGATGTTTGTCTTATATTCCATTCGTTGTTAATAATATCTACGTATTCAATTATTATTACGGATTTCTTTCGGTACTTTGAATTAACTCATATCAAAACTTAGCACATACTGTGAAATATGTTGTATATTTTGTTGGATAAAATGACTTGCGGCATTTACAAACAGGTATAGAAAGAGTCACACTTCATGCTAATTAGAGTAGTAATGGTTTACTGTTGACAATTCGGTTCATTCTTTCTAGAAGTTTGGGTGGCCTTAAGGCGGCAATTCGACCATTTAAAGCCAAAGATGTATCAATTACCAACAGCAATGGACAATAGTTATTGTGTAAATAGGTACAAACCTACCGCCCAGCGGTATTTTACATGCCGGTAGTCAACTTGCGAATGTGTACGATTTACGGCGGCCATTGTTAGTTTTGCTTTTTAAGTCTCATTTCTCTTTGCCTCCAATATATCAATCAAGATAATGGTCCCACACATTTCTGGATTTAAGTGGAACCAGATGTTTTCAGTTATTAGGGTAAAACACCCATTAGTCAGCCCTGCACCAGTACTCAGCCTTTACAGACATTATTTCCCTATAAATAGTGTTGAAATTTGTGTACACCGCTAAAATAATGTTTGAAAGAATCCTTTGTCTCTCTATTGTCTAATATGCACACATACGAACCAATATCATTTCAATCAGACAAGCTACTGTCGTTCATTTGCATCGCCGACACAGACACGACTATACTCGCTGCTGTTACTGTTTTTTATCTTCAGGAACCGCTTAAAGTTTTCGGTAGATTTTTGTGTCTCTATATTGTTATATGCGGTGGATAATTTTACTGTGTTACAATATAATGTTTATTCTGCAATAAAATCAACTTTTACATGCATTTTATTTGTTGAATATATTGTAATAAGGGTGGCTGACTACTGGGTTTCGAATTTGAATTGTAAATCCAGTGCTCAGCCATAAGCGGCTGACTACTAGTTTTTAACACGGAAGTGTATTTTACCAGTAGTCAGCCGTGTACGAATGTAATTGGATGTTGTAATGGATCTACGAATCTAGTAACCAGCCGTCAGTCCTATTGCACAAAATTGCACCTTAAAGCCTTTTTAATCAGAGTTGAGTTTATGCACAGTTATTTTAGACTGAAAATCACTTTTTTCAAACTTTCATCAAGTCAAAGAGACCTATTTACCAATAAAAAAAAGAACAATTGACAGAAGCTATTATGGCGATTAGGATAATTAGAGAAGCTAGTCGAGTTTTCAAGGTTGCGAGAGAAAATTTGTCTATAACAATCAGCAACAGTTTTAGCAAATGTGAATTGAACCCATGCAATACGACCGCTTTGGCTACTCAAAATGTATTTAGAATAATCTTGAGAAATTTCACAACGTTAAGTTAATGTTTTGAGTGCAGATTGTAGTTCTGCTTGTGATACTGATGCAAACCAACCAAAATAGGTATCAGAATCGAATGAAATTTTTGTGATAAGCTTGCTGATAATAGGTGATCACACATTGAAAAATAATTTAAGTACCATTACAGAAGAAGAGATATTCTTGAAGGAATTCGAAATCATAACCGACTTTGAAGTGATTCACGAATATGTTAAAATTTAAGAAACACTAATCATACACCAAAACCAATTTTTGAAGAATATATGACAAATGAAGATATTGATCTAGAAATAAATACTAACCAAGAATTGATAAAGAAAATGAAGATGTTGGACAAGAAATACATACTTACTATGCGCTCCCAGAAAATAATAATTATGGGTAATGTGAAAGGCATAAAGACAGATTGTTAACTTGATCCAATTAAAAATAATATTGAACAAGACGAGACAACAAATATACAATCTGTACTACACGACAGTACCAAAAATATTAAAAGCAATATAAACATAATGTCCACTGTTAATGTAAAATCAGGAGACATGTCAGTCATTTTAAATGGATATTGCCTGGTCTAGCTAAGTACATCAAAAAAGAAGATAAATCGATCAATGAAACAGGAGCTATTTCTTCGAAAGAGTGGAAACAATTTGAGAGACAAAAAGAAGAGATGAAGAACAGGAAAAGTACGAAATATTGAATAAAAAATCAAATACTTGAGATTATGGCAAAGAAAGAAGAAGAGGAACATAAAAGAAAGAAGAATTACAAAAAATTAAAGCGGAAAAGCAGCTGAATTCTAAAAAAAAGTGTAAATAGAAAGAAAAATAGTGCCTGTACTATAAAGAGAATGAGATGTAATAATTGTGAAGATGAAATAGGGTGTGATAATTACCCTGCATGGTACCATTTGAAATGCACTGAATTCGGTGGGGATATGTGAGAAAATATATATAATAAGAAATTTCTAGGCCAAATATGCAAAATAAGTGAGAGGCTGACTACAGGGTAAGCCATGGCTGACTTCTGGAGAAATGAGGCTGAGCACTGGGAAAAAGTGCCATTATATGATTATCGTTAATTTTTTCCATAAGTCCAACAAAAGTTTAATATTTTGTTAATTTTTTTAGTTAACATAGTAAATAACCTTTCACAAAAAAGTGGTTGTTTTTATCTATAATGTTTAATATTTGAAATATAAATGAACAAAATTGAATTACTCACTAAAAGGCTGACTACTGGGTGTTTTACCCTATATACATAATTATTTTTATGTTTCTCTCAAATTCAAGAGGCCACATGTCACAACAAATATGTGATCACCACAAGATATAGCTTTCCATTCGTTAAGAAATGGAGGTGTGTCTTTGTTGTGTTCGCGCAGATAAAAGCTGCATATTTTAAATTTGGAGGTTGTCCCCTTTCCTATAAACTGTCTCGAATTTAGAATATTATTGAAATTGTAGTTTAGAGTTTCGAATGTCAAAGTCGAGAAGCATATTTGTTCATAAATTTGTGAAATTTTTCTTAATATCGGTTATTGCACTAACACAAAAAATATAAGTCTTCTAAAAATACGCTTATTTCGACTATGGATAATTATTTGTTTCAGTGGCCTCTTGGAAATTAATAGAGTATTTTGATCAGTTGTACTTTGGAAGACAAAAGCTTGAACCAATGGATTATCTCAAATTTGCATTTCATTGTTTGCACTTATAAAATTTGCTCAATATACTGATATATAAGAAGAAGAAAAGCTGTAGTATTGTCTACGAAATCCGGCCGAAAAGACTAAAGGGCTAAATTAATTTATTTTTTGCACATTTGTTTTGATTTTTTGTTTCTATTGAAATTTTCAATTAGGTGTTCATATTTCATATATCAATCATAAAGATTTTGTAAAAATTATATAATTTGAATTAATTTGAATAAAACTAAGTAGTTTTTAAATTTTTTTCACTATAATTTAGTCAAACATGACGATATTGTTCAGAATTTTGGCTTCATCAGATTTAAATGATAAACTGTCAGATGATAAAAACCAGTTTATCATCTACATCTGATGAAGCCACTGTGTTGGCGAAACAATATTGTTATGTTTGACTAAATTATAGTGAAATACATAGTTTTATTCAAATTATGTTATGTTTCATCAAGTATCGGCTCAATGTTAGAATTATTTACGTTCTGATTTGAATGGGCACCTCTAAGCATCGACATAATATTGACTTCTCGGTAAGACAAACCAAAATAGCATTTTACGATTGCACGTGTAAGATCATTAAATTATGTTTGGGATTTAAATCATATTGCCAATTGTTCGATATGTTTAGAAAGAAACGAATTTTGCATTTACGTCATTATAGTACTTTATCGATTTTAATGTTGCTATTGATATATATTTTTCGGTAATAAATTGAGGTGTATTTCCACATTAGGTAGGTGATTATGGTCATTAAATATTACAATTATTGTGTTTCCATATAAGTAGTTCGAACAAACTTGTTTTGCTTTGTCTCCTGTTATTATTACTTATTATATTATTATTACGATTGTTCCCCATGAGGAGAGCGACTGAACTTGAATTCGCAATTATTAGGACTTTTGCTTCATCTTTTTTAATAATTGATTGACTGTAAATCAGCTTAACAATTGTTTTATTATGTTCATCTTTTTTACCTCCCAAAAACGCTTCATCCTCTCTGAATGCTCCGTCTTCCGTTCATCTGTCCATTTTACTCCAGGTTGACGATTTGACTTTTGCTCAAACTTCACATGTGCGATTTTATATCGACTTTCAGTGCGATCTTCGAGATTTTTTATATTGATCTGTTGTAGAACCTTTTCGACTTCTTTTAGCCACTTCCGCATTTGCTATTCATAATTATTGAATATAACTTAAATTCAAACACTTGAACTTATGATTTACACTTTATTGACTACATAGCATGACGCGTTTCGTCGTTACAAACGACTTCTTCAGATGCTTACAGAATAATGAAGATTTATCCTTTAAAGTATAATGGGGAGATCACATCGTTCATGTTTCACATAGCCACTCTGCTATAATATCCTTGAATAATTCGAAAAAAATTATCGAATGGCAGTTATTGTATACTTTTGATATTGAATATTTATAAGAGCGATGATATAAGCACGAGA